ATTGGGCCATTTGCATTTCAAGTGAGACGAATTAATAAAAAAATATTTGCCTAACTTCTCGCTGAAACCTGGATTCACTGTCACCGCCGTCGTGTTCCTCCGCCTTCGGATAAATAATCTTCTTGCCGGCGATTAAAACACGATATCTCAATGTTCAAGTTGCCTTTCAAATTGCGAACAAAACACGATCGCATGCTTACCCGAAGTAAGAGGAAACTTCTGAAGAAAAAGAGGTAAAATTCGCAACAGACGGATCAATGTTTCCCGAAACTACCTCGACGACATATTGTATCCGCGTATTACAGCACCGACACGGCCGAATTCCCAAGGCAACCGTTGAGAAAGAAAAATATTTAGTGACAGTCCCTGCGTATCGATAAGGGTGGTACCCGTTATTAGGGTTCTTATTAGCCCAGCATATGTACTAGAAGGGCGATTTTAGATACCGATCGAGCCGTCCTCTCTCTTTTACTCTCCGTGTCGGTGATCGCGCGCACAGATACCGCAGTTTGCAGTAACAGGTCCTATTTCAAGGGATTACAAATAGATTTAATCTTTATCGGGCGTCTTCTGTTTTCCGATCTATCAGCCAGAATGCAAATGCTCGCTTCTCTCGGATCGCAAGAGGAAACGGATGAAAAGAGCGAGCAAATCTCGTTTTGTGTAACGTTACACCTCGATCGTTCGGTGTATCGTTTCACATACTTCAAAGTTTCTTTGATTTTCCGTTATGAAGCTCGTTATAAAAATGAGTTATAACCCCTCGATTAAGATGAATAAGTCGAATAATATAGGAAGGACCATACATTTTTGTTCGAGCGGTAATTCTCCTTTTTTTTTTTTTCCTCACGCGAGAAAGAAAAAGTTTATTAATTCGTTTGTCAAAGAGTTCAAGGGTGGAACGGTTAACGCGTTAGTTCACCTGATTTGGAGGCTTAATGAGCCCGTTGACACTTTGATGCAGGGTGTCCCGCGTGTCGCCAGGGAATTGCCAGTTCAATAATTCAGAGGCTGGCCGTAATGGAACTTGTCCGCAGGACTCGATCTATCATAGAAAATTGCACGGAGCCCTTTTACCGACGCTCATAAGAAACATACATATTAGAAGAATAACAGCGGACTAGCTTGTAACCTCGTGTGTCCGTCCTTCCGTTTCGAGAATTGATTAGAGCTCGGGAATAAATCATGCGTGCGTGTGGGTGCATTCGTCGGCATATATCTATGCTCGCGCGAAAGAGAACCGTGACATTTCCTAAAAAAAAAAAAGAAAAAAAAAAAGGAAAAAGAACCTTAACTTGATAAAAAGGAGAATATGATCGGATTATGTGGAACGAGGGGGGTTGAGTACACGAGACGAATCCCAAAGTTTATCGAATTCCCGCCGACAGAGGTAGCTCGTCGGCCAAGTGACCGTTGTTAATTAGCCATCGATTCATTCATAACAGGTTGACAGACGCGACACGATTACTTCGGGCTTAACGAGCAGTCGATTAATACATTAATGACGATTAGAGGGACTCTGAGTTTCGTTGATGGGGAGTCGGAGTGGTGGATGACACGCGGTGTGATTAATTGGTGTACTCGCTTCGAAAGCATAACCGGTTCGAAATAATCGCCGATTCCGTTTGTGCGAGTTTTTCCGGAAGCTCTAAGCTTGTTCCATCTGTTCGAAACGAGAGAGAACTCGAAGCACCGACAGCGAGCCGGCGGCCTCTCGTCGTCCGTCGGCAGCGAGAAACGCTCGACGTCAAAAGCAAAGCTCAGAGGCAATCATGAGCTTTCGAATGCAAAACAGCAGCTTTCGCCTAGCAGCACTCGGCACTTTTACATTTAAATGTAAACTCGCTGAGTGCGCGCCGCAGAGCCACCCTCGCCATATCCTCCCCCATCTAGCAACGGACCCCTTCTCGACCCCCTTCACCATCTCCCGTTCTCTCCTCTGCACATCGTACACCCCTATCCGCGTAACGTTTCCATCCGCCTCCTCCACCATCTCCTCCTCCTCCTCCTCATCCTCCTCATCCTCCTCTCTTTCGAGGACGTAGGCGATATGGCGGAGGCGCCTGGATTTAATATTTTACACCTCAAATGTTGGGCGCGCGCGCGAGCCAGAAATGCAAAACAGCTCATAGAGTATCCCTCGAGCTGTTGACCCCTTCCGTCGCCGTCCATAACGATTCCCTCCCCTTTTGGTTTAGATTGGATTTAAAACGCGCTAATTTGTCGAGCGCGGCGCGACCCACGCTTTGCACAAACCCGCTCGCGTGTCTTCGACCGTCCGTGTGACCGTACTCCTCCTGTAGTCGAAACTGCGTACAGTCGCGCGCCTCTTTGCCAACACAGGGGTGTGTAGAGGTGTGTGGGCACGGTGGGCCACATCTAAATTTAAAATCTGCTTTGCATAATGCCCGACCTCGTCGTTGCTCGTCGACCCCGGGACCGCCTAATTGCGGCCTCGTTCGAGCCCCGGTGTCCCTTCGACACCTACAGCAGCCATTCTCGAAAAACCGGCTCCTTCCGCCCACCATCCCTCGCTCGCTTCCGCCACTTTGAATCGACCGACCAGATAACCGGACGCTGTTCCCCTCGTTCTGTACTTCGGTCATCGATCTACCCTTTCTTACGAAAATTGATCTTCGGTTTCCGAACGATACGACGGAGAAAGAAAAACTTATGCTCCTTCAAGATTGAACGAACGTCAAAGGCCTGACTTGGTCATTATCATATCGTACAGATCAAATATTTCAAAGCAGTGTCCAAGGTAATATCGATCATAGATCGACTAGTCCAGGTACGAAAGCACGTAGTAGCGAAGCCGTATCTTTCGATCAATTGCCGATAATTATCAATTATCAATTACGTGGCGCGGTAATGAGGTATCGTTCGATTGCTTCACGTAGCCGGGCATACGTGCGGGAACGTGAAAACGGCGTTGGGAACGGCCGGAAGTCGATCGAAGAACTCGTTTCCACCCGTTCTCTCTTCCAGGGATAATGGCTGGAGTAATCTAGCTTAACATGACGATACAGCACGAAATGAAATATCGCGTATCGGGCCGTAATGACCGCTTTGTACATGGAAGGAAATCGCGTTTCTTTGTTAAGTGCTATCTGCATGGTCTAAGAAGCTAGTTTTAAACCGCATTGCTGCAAATGACATTTGTAAATGACACGAGCAACAACGTACGAACGAAGATCGACGAGCATTCCGTGCACGTGCGTACAGATTTCCATCCCTCGGCCTACTAATACAATCATCGCATTGGCGCATTGTCCAGGAAACTTTGTCACGGTGGTCACGCGGTAGATCGTTCTGTATCGTGTTTAATGTAGTATTAAACGCAGCTATTGTGTGCCTCGCCGTCCATCGTGTTCACAAATTTATTTCCTCGCTTCCCGCTGTCCATTCGTCTCTCCTTAGAAAAGAAAAAAAGCGCAAGCACGTGCCGCCCCCGTTTCGACCCGAAGAAATTCGAAAGTAATGTGATTTCTCCCGTCTTTCGACCAGAGCCGATCATTGGTCCGAGGGAGGGGGAGAGAAAAAAAAAAAAGAAAAGAAAACGTACCAAGGGACAGGGGATAGGTACCCTCTTATTCATACGCTAAGACGATTTGCCAATATTCGTGCACGACTCTTGGCAAACGAACTTCCCGGTCACGATACGCGCGACTTCTTGCTTCTCCTAATTTTTTCCCTCTTCATCTTATCCACACTGGCTGAAATTTACAAATTTGGCGCACAACCAAGCAGCCGAAAGAGTTATCTAAACGTTAGATTCTAGGATGTTGGACGAAATACTTGACGGGGAATGAATGTGAAGATCGCAAAGAAAGATCGAGGAGCAAACGGATGAAGCGTATTCGGAAGAGTAACGTGCCTCTTACCGTCGTTACTGGCAGTTTCCTGCGATAACCCCAGCATTATATTCGTAGCCCCTAAATAACAGGGGAATAGAATTCACAATGGGCCACAATGACTGAGCCAACATTACGAATTAGGCTCGGTTACGCGTTTATTGCTGATTCCGGTCCAGGACAGCGGCGTCGCAGCACGTTTTCCAAGTGGTGCGAGCAAACGGACTGGCTACGAGGTACACGCTCGAAAAAGGACGCCACTGCAGAGATACGAAGTATTAGCATTGGTTAGCTTTATGGGGCGTTCAGTTCCGCCGTTCTGTCATTTTCTCTTTCGCTCGTCTCTTCGTTCTCTCTTTCCAGCTCTCGTTCGGGAGAGAACGAACGCGGCAGATCAATAAAATCTGTCTGTCTGGAAAAATAATGCCAAATCGACTGTCCGTTTTTGGCGGCGAACAAATAAATGTCACAAAAGGAGTGGAACCGCCTGCGCACACCGACCATTTCGTCGAGCCAGACGCTTTAAGGTTCGATTCTCTCCTAGTTCGTGACGGCCGAATCTATTTGCCAAAACATTCGAAGGAATCGACTTTAGAACAGAGTATAGGAACGGCGTTCGACGCGATAGGCAAACATTTTATATTGTAAATGATCTCTCGTATCGATCAGGAGACGCGTTCTGACGTCGGTGGAAAAATTTGTTTTTTCACGGTTAGGTGACTAGCAAGAGCGGAAACCGCGACAAGGGGACCGAAACTGGGACGCAATAATTATTAATCAATTTCGTATTAATTGTTTTCTGGGCGTCGAGCTTAAGTGGGATGTTGTGTTCTGGCTTCTGGCAAGCTCTGCCCCGTAACCAGCCAAAGTGTCATACAAGAAGATTAATTACGTCGCACCACCCTTTATATACGCCATGCGTGCGACTACCCTTCTCCTTAATCCTTGGATACTCGTAAAAGTATTCCAAGTTTCACGAAGATATCAGAGAAGTATATAGCAAACAGCGCGTCATCGCGTGAAAAGATATTTTCTGCGAGAATGATATTCGATGAAAGTTCATATTTCGCAAATATTTGTGGTACGAATTCTTCGTGAAATGTGGTAACATTTATTAATTACTCTATTTATCAGATTATAAACATCTATTCATTCAAGGCATTCGATGATATATTAATTTGTTAGAAAAGTTTACAATATTTTAAAGAAGCAACAACTGCAGATGTAATCTTCGATCGAGTTAAACTCAGATCAAGATTTTGTTACTCTTCCAAATGAGCACAGTCCTTTCGTAATATCTGTTTTTCGTCCAAGTCTTTCCCGTGATTGTAACCCCGGTTAGTAAAAAAAAAGAGGTAGGTACGCGAAAATAAAAGAGACCCGAGGGAATAAGGTTTCGCTGGTACTCCGTTCTCGATCCACGAAAGAGCCAAGTTAGTTTTATTTTACAATCCATCGGCTTCCACGACACGGAGGGGTGAGTTTCGCAGTCTACTGGTAGCTACTCCAGTCGAAAGACGAGAGAGAGAGAGAGAGAGAGAGAGAGAGAGAGAGAGAGAGAGAGAGAGAGAGAGACGTCGAGCGGTAGTTGGAATCCTTCTGGATGGTTGGACGAGTGTCGAGGAGGGTGTACAAGTTGCGAGGGGGCGGACTGGCTGTCAACTAGTGTTTTAAAAGTTTGCGACAGCCTACAAATTGGTTCGCTCAGTTCTTTTTAAAAGCACCACCAACCAACCACGTCGCGTACTCCAATGTGTCTGTCTTTCATGTTTCGCAGCCGTATCGTTCAACGGAGAGCTTACGAAAGTTTCCTCTGGCGTCAATTTATACGTTGAGGATATATTTCGTTATCGATAATCATTTGGATTGACGACGTCTTTGAGCTTGATTCATCTCTCTCTTCGCATGCCTATAAGAAATACGAAATTGAGAAAGAAATTCGCACGACGGTAGGATATTCCCGGATATTGCAGAAGTTACGCCCGCTGGTGCGTTACTTTTCGGGGAAACGCAAATGATCGTCTAGAAACGTGGTGAAACGTCCGAAATAAATCGCGAGAAGGGGCTTTTTCTATCGGCCATTGTGCGCTCGATCATTATTCTCCAGAGTTTCGCGAAAAGTTCCGACCATTTTCGGACAAATCGACCTCCATCTAGGAGACGCCGGCCCCCGTATAGGGAATATGCTTGCGCGCGATTCAAATCCCGGAAGTTTAAAAGTATTTCGACGTAAAACGTGGCCATTTCTCATATTTTCTATGCAACCGCGCTCCGCCGTGGGCGCATTTGATACACTCTATTAGTCGCATCCCCGGACTGATTTATCGAGTTACCCGCATTATTATACATTTTCCCCATTACGGGACCGAGATTCATCGTATTCTGGTAGTTTGCCTGCTCTCTGCACATTCCATTAGTTGCGAATGATCAATGGTTATTGTGCGGACTTAAGATTCGAATCTTTTCCAGAAATAGAGATGCTTTGAGTAAAAAAAAAAAAAAAATAACAAACAAATTATATTTATATGTATCTCTCTGTAAAACTATGTGTATGACAAAAAAATAGCAACTCCAAACTTTACGTTTAAAAAGTTAGGGGTCAAAATTATAAATAAATACACGTATATTGGACGCACGTAACTTATAACGAATGAGTACTTTATATTGATAATTAATAACTATATGTTTTCTGATACCTGGATATTTATCTTCTTGTCGCAAACAACAAGGTAGTAATGTGCAGCACAGAAATAAAATCCAAAGAGTCTCGAAATTGCATTAGCTGTTTGGATAAAATTGAAGATGTCTTGGCGAATCGAACATCGAGAAATTCTGCGACAGAAACGATGGCGATTTTGGTTCGTCGCTATTGTTCGATTGCGTCATCGATGTGGCTATCGTTGTTGGTAACTCTGTACGATTCTGCTGCTTCTCGATCCATTCTTTCCGAGCAGTATACACGACCATCCACATGTATGCAGAAAACACTAAATCGACAAAATGTAAACTTTGTCTATCGTTCGATTTTTTAATTCGTTCAAGAAAAAAAAAAAAAAAAGAAAGAACGTAGCTATTACGACACTGCTTAAGCGACAAACACACGTTGAACAAGACACACCATCCGCGAGTTAGGTAATTTTAATATACTTACGTAGATAGATACTGGACAGTGGAATGTACCATATTGATTTATCGTAAACATCGTATTGTGGTTCGTGCGTCAGATGAATAGACAGCGCCACAGACTGATCTATTATGCTAATTATTTGCAAATACATCCAAGGCACGGCGCACTTAGGTTTCCTCTGCGAACGTACGCCGAAGTTAGCAAGATCGTTAGCGAGTTTAAGCAAGGTTGCTACGTGCCGAAAATACGCTTTTTAAATAAAGAAGTCTACGGTTGATTCGCTTTCAATACACGGCTACAGCGTCCGTTCTCTTTGATCACTTTGGCATTGTATTTCGCATCTATCAGGAAAATAACTGGCTAAATATAATACTTACGGAAATTGATCCAAAGGCGAGATACGCACTGGCCGATAGAAATGACATCGTGTACATGAGGAAGAACACCACGGTTGTTTGCGCTAAATGTTTCGATTTTATATTAGCGTCGCAATATTTCTCGGATATTATCTATGCGTTTACTCATGATGAAACCTACCTTTATTTTTCACTTGAAAGTTTTTTAAAATTTGCAACCAATTTAAACCAACTATGCTCCAATTTCTAATAGAATTGAAAAATTCTTCGTCTGTTTCCCTTGAGAAATAGTTGCTCATCAACAAGTTTATCGTAAGTATGGACAATGACTAGAAAAATACAGGAGAAATAAACACGGTGCGTAGTAACCTTAACATTCGTCGTTGAAAAGAACAAGTTCGGAAAATAATACAATAATATTTTCCGTTATCGTGCAATGTGTTAAAAACCGGCTTAACTGACAGATTGTCCGTCACTTACCATAGTATAGGTACTGATGATCCTTGTGGCTAACGCTAGTCCGATACAGCACAACATATTCTGGTTGAATTGTTAACGTCTTGATACACTGAACCACGAATACTAAATGCTCGAACCGAGCCGAAATGACCACGGTTTTCGTTCCTACGTCAAACGACACTAGACTGATTGTTCGTAAAAAAATGTAAACACACTTATCTACAAGCAAATACGCGCTTAAAATTTAAAACTACGGAATTCAATTCTTGTTACTCGATTGACTACTAACTACTTACATGCTTGCTTCTTCACAAATCTACAGTTGAATCGTCGTACAGCATATCGATAATACTTCTAATCGATAATAATTAAAGTCGCAATGTAGACGAGGTGTTACATCGCTGTATTTTATAATCTATGTGTGATATAGCGATAACTGTAAAAAAAATTGTTATTATCTTACTGTCGAACACGTGTATCTATGAAATTTATACGTGTTAATATAATAATATAAGTTTCCTAATGAATAAATTTTTTATTGGATTTCTAAACAAAGTCGTAGATCGAACAAAGCCTTCGACAGTAGCCTCGACACCAGTCGCGCGCCACAATCTGCGCATGTCTAGTATCTGAATTAGCTGAAGGCGAATGTGTATCTGACACGTGCTATTAGGTTATGTTCACGTTTCTCAATATTGTATTTCGTTTCTCGTTAATTTCGAACGTGTGTAGTGCCGTATTTTGAAGTGAACATTAGAAAAATAAAAAAAATGACTGTAAAAGACATGGATATTTCCTTGAATATTTCTACAGGACCAGTTGCCAAAGAGGTAAGCGAGAGGTTACAAAATGTGTTGAACTGTATTCTCATGGAATTGTATTTTTTAATTAGAAAATAGAAACAGAAGATGATTTTATTCTTAATTTAATGAGACAAAAGAAAAATAAGGTAACTAAAAAAAGTAAAATAGCAAGTAATGAATTAAAACATGACTCTGTTAAGGAAAGTGATACCACTAAAAAAAGAATTAAACAAAAATCTTTAGGAGCGATTGTTACACAGAGATTAAGAGGAACTAATCAAAATCAATCTTCTATTGTACAAAATAAATTAAAGTCTAAGTCACAAGTAAATTTTAAACACACACAATCGCAGCGGAAAATATCTAAAGAACCTATAAAAGCGCAAAAGAGTGATACAGAAACAAATAACTCTTTATCTAACAAAAGTAATGAAGTTTCTGACGTTCCTAATATTTCATTTACTAAAGTTACAAGAGAGAATTTTGGCAAAACTTTATTAGCAAGAAAAAGAAAAATCACTGATACAAATTCTAAACAAACATTGTCTAGTATATTTTCAAAACAATCAGAATCTGAAACTAAACAGTTTAGTTTGTTGGATTCTTTAAAACAAAAAGAAGTAGAAAAAGATGATGTGCCAGAAAAGAAAGCTAGAAAGGAATTCAAGGAAGAATCTGCAGAATCTTCCAGTTTGCCTGAAAAGATAGGTTTTAATAAGAAGAAAAAGAAAAAACAATTAGATAAATCAAAAACTGATATTAATAGTACAGAAGAAAATAAAAATACAAATATTTCTCATAAATCTGTTGGGAAAATATCTTCCTTATTTGGACATAATCCAGAAATACCAAACATTGGACAGAGATTAGTAAAACCGATAAATGAGCCAGTCTTTACAGGCACGACCTTTGATGATCTTAAAATACATCCTTTTACGGTTAGTATCATACACATCTGATGTATCATGACATATCCAATATAATAATATGTTTTACTAATTATAAAACATTTTATCAGATATCTAATTTAGAGAAAAATATACATATAAATAAAATGACTATAGTACAACAAAAAGCAATTCCCCAGATATTTTTAGGAAAAGATGTTTTAATTAGATCACAAACTGGTTCTGGAAAAACACTAGCATATGCTTTGCCTATAGTTGAATGTTTACATAAAATTAGACCAAAATTAAATAGAAATAGTGGTTTGAAAGCCCTTATAGTTGTTCCAACTAGGGAACTAGCATTACAAACGTATGAGTGTTTTTTAAAATTAACAAAAGTAAGTACTACATCAATAATTATTCAATGATCGCGTGAATACATTCCATTTATTTTTACACGATTTTAGCCATTTACGTGGATTGTACCAGGATATTTGGCAGGAGGTGAAAAAAGGAAAGCAGAAAAAGCTAGGTTAAGAAAAGGTTGCAATGTTTTAGTTGGTACACCAGGTAGACTGTTAGACCATATAAAATGGACGGCAGCTTTAAAGTTAAGCGACGTTAAATATTTCGTTTTAGACGAAGCTGATAGAATGTTTGACATGGGATATGAAAAAGATATATCTGGGTATGTTTTCTCAATTGAAGATATATAAAAAGAATTTACTAAAACAAAAAAGAAAATTCTTTTATAATATGATATAATATAATTTCAGTATAGTAAGTGCTTTGAAAGTGTCACTTCCAAGTCAAAATACTGACTATGATGCCATAAAAATATTGCGTCAAAATATAAAGAAAGTTTTCACCGATGCAGATCTTGAGCATCTGGAAAATAGTGGTGATTTTAAAAAATCTCAAAATGATAGCCACAAAGATTTAATCGTTAAATCAAATAGGAGCACAGATTTAAAATCTGAGGATGACGATGTTGAAGATAATGTTGAACGAAAACAAGTGTATCATTCTAGCAGTGATGACGACTCCGATCGAGGCGAGCCTTATATTAAGTCAAAAAGATCAGATAAACAGAAAGTTTGCTCAGACTTTGCAACAAAGAAAGACTCTGATCAGCAAAAAGATGACACGCAATACAAAGAAAATGATAATAGTAGCGGAGATGAATCGAGAAGGCAGACAATTTTACTGTCCGCGACGTTGACACAAGCGGTAGAAAAATTAGCAGGTCTTGCTATGAATCATCCTGTTTTCATCGATGCTGCAAAAGAAAATTTGGAAACAACTGGTGGTGACGTAAGCGATATCAACGAGGATCTAGTAGTCCCACAAAGCGTGAATCAAAGTTATGTCGTCACGCCTCCAAAACTGAGAATGGTGACTTTAAGTGCTTATATCGCCGGAAAGTGCCAGGTAAATTTGTCACATCAGACTATTTATTTTTTCTTCATATTTAAAATTTCATATATTGTGTGAAATTTCATATGAATAGAGCCATGGTCAACACAAAATATTAATATTTATGGCCACTCAAGATATGGTTGATTATCATACGGAGATCTTATCATCTATATTAACTAAACCCATTGACCAAGATGACGATGATTCTGATCCTTTAGTCGACGTAGAATTCTTTAAATTGCACGGTAATATGATCCAGAAAGAACGAACCGAGGTCTTCAAAACTTTCAGACAGGCGACGAGTGGAGTTCTACTCTGTACGGTGAGTAGTACTTTGTATATAATATCTAATACTTAGATATTTTCAATTGTTTCGCGAAAGCTTACGCATAGTAGAATAGTAGAAAAGATTCACGTGATGATATTATGAAAACAACGAAACTGTTTTGCGAGAATAAAAATTGTTATAAAACAGTGTCAAATAAGAAGCAAAGGAGTGAAGAAGGAAAGAGCAGAAGAAAAGCTAGGGATACGGGCGGCATTCCCCGAGCAGTAAATTACCCCGTGGCTTATTCTTTCAGGACGAAATTTAATATCTCCGGACCCACGCTGTGTCCGGAGGTTAAAAATTATGCGCGCACATGAAGCCTTCGTAACGAGTATAATTATGATTGTTTGCCTGTTATATGCCAGCCAGTTCTTTAATTGTTTTCTACATTTAAATGGCGAATACTCGCATTAATAACACTTATCGTGACGGAGAGATTTCATTGGGGAAACCGTCAGTCCTGATAGTCACGATAATTTCTAATTTTAGAATGCAAGCTACGTGCTATTTCGACGCAACGCGGCGATTTATGACCGACAGACAACTTTCTTTCGTTTACTAATTGCCAACGAATCAAATTAATCGTGTATCGATATAGTGTGGATCAACTTTCTGTTATATCGTGATTCCATGACAATTTCTCAATCATTATAATTAGCGGCGAAAGTTATGGATCTTGACGTCCGATAAATATCATTAAAAATGCAGTAGTAATAATTAAATTCATTATCGTTTACTTTGCAATCCTCTTCCTCGTCGGTTAACATGAATTTAAAACGCCACTTAACTGAAGAAAAAGGAAGAGACCATCAAAGTCCGGCGGAAGGTACGAATTTTAAAATTCATGATCCACGACACGCAACAGTGTTACACATTGCTCATAGCTGGGATTAATTTCTTTTAATCAGGCGATTGCATCGTTGATTCAACACGTGTTTCACGGCAACTTGTCACAGCTTGTCATTATTCTTCCTGCCTTCTTTATTAAAATCTACATAAACCGCTTAATTGTTATTAAGATTATCGAATTACCGATATGAATCTTTCGTTTTTTGTCAAAATTTTTGACTCTTTACCTTTGAAAGGTATACAAAACGTTGATCCCAGAGAGCAACGAACAACGATGGCAACCGCCGCCTACATTTTACAGCGTCACTTGAACGGAGATTCTATGGCAGCATTATTAATTTCCACGTTGAAAACTCACGAGAGCCCCCGCGGATGGAATGTTCCGCGGCTCTCAGCGGTGGTGAATCCGGATCCAAGAGGTGATCTATGGTCCGAGTGAGATGTTTTGAGCGGACGATCCGTTCTCGATCCTCCGAGCCACGATCGCGGCCTCTCTCCTAAACGATCGTTTGTCTTAATCGCTGCCATCGATCGCTCCTCGTCCCTGTTTTCGTTACATTATATCGCGCCGGTGGCAGCCGCGCTGTGCTTGTTTCGTCGAAAGATACGTGGGCGTCTCCGGCCGATTTCATTTTATCAGACCATCTCTCGGTCGAGTTCTAATCGAACTTGTTTACCGCCGATCAATTATCGGGATCTCGAAGTATTTCCTTCTCAAGGAAATAGTCCGTCATTTCACATTTCACATTTACGTGAAGCATTTGTCGATGGAAAGTAGCGCCGTAATTAGCGCGGAGAAACGGATGAAACAAAAGTCAACGACGATGAAATATCGTTCGCCGGGACGGTATTTTATTTCCATAGGGCAAACTTCTTTCTCGTTTTCCTTCACCCCGGCGCCTGCGGGCCGTTCCGTTGTAGGATCGCGTCGAATTAATTCGATAAAAAGATATAAAAAGGAGGAAGACAGACACATCCGTATCGTGCCGCGAAAGAATTTTCGGGGCCGCGACGCCCCCCCACTGGTGGTCCGGGATTAGTCTCCAGGGTCGTCAAGCAGAAACTCGATGTGCTCCGTTCGGTGAATCATTGGTTAACTGAACGCAAGGAAATCAGGGCCGTGCTCAAACGTTCGCCGTTGGGGTTCCACAGCGGGCGCTCGCTGCCAGCCGCGCGCATTCACCTTCTCGTACAAAACGAGAAATCGACACGGTTTGTAAGACATTTGTACCTCGCAGATCGCACGCTCTTTCTTCTTGCCCCTTGGATCATCAAAGAACAAGATGTTTGAATCGCTAACCGCAGCACCGCTGCTTTTCTCTCTCCAACTTTTCCTCAAGTACTATCACTTCCATGTCACGTGTACACGTTTGATTCTGCTTATTTAGGATGTTGCAGCCCGTGGATTGGACCTGCCAAAAGTGGACTGCGTGATTCAATACACAGGACCAACGTCTGCCAGGGATTACGTGCATCGAATCGGTAGAACCGCGCGAGCTGGTTCTTCCGGTTCGGCGACTATCTTTTTAACCCCGCCAGAGATCGAATTCGTCCGGATGCTCGAGTCTAGGCGTATCAGAATCAGACAAGAGAACATGGACGATATTTTGGACAAACTGTTGACTCCCTTGTCGAAACATTCCTCTGTTCATAACGCCGCGATTGCGCTTCAGAATGAGTTCGAAACCATGGTGCTCGAGGACACGAAGCTCCGAGAAAAAGCGTGCAAAGGTAAATCACGTTTTTAAATACGATAAACAGAGAGAAAGAGAGAGCGAGAGAGTGATGGATGCATGCAACGAACGTTTAACAAAGCCGAATCGACTTTACGATTTTACGCTTAACGCGATTTTGACCTCCCGTCACGACGAGACACAAAGTACTCATGAAATTCAACGAAGGATGAGGGAGCACGCACTTGGTTCGATTCAGTTGGATCGGAACGAAAGCGAGCCGACTTCAGGGTACAGTAAGCCAATTCCAGCGGGCACCCTACTCGCATATAAAGTAACCCTCACACGACCGCGTTACCGAGCCTCTGTCTCGGTTTTCGCCCGCCACTTCGATATTTACATACTCTCTCGATGAGGAGCGATGATCTTGTTTGCCGTGCCATGGTTCCCCTATTAGAGTCGTTAAGCCGACGAATTTATTTGCTGCAAATAATAAATCCATTAGAACGCGACGATTCGTGCTTCATTCAGAGGGCGAAGTGTAATATTTATCCTTGTGCTCTCGAATATTCTCGATCCTGTTACAAAGTACTGTCTGCGGTGTCAGGAGAGACACAGTCGAGTATAGTCTCAGTGGGTGTTCGAGGGTGATCGATTCCAAAACGAAAAATAAAGGCCATAAATCTTTCTAAGAGGTTTTTGAATTTCGTAGTTGTATCACGTCAAGCGTGGCTTTACACGAAGGTTAGCCACGGTTTTTGAGCGCTTAGCCGCCTCCAGATTTGAGTGACGGTACACAGTTAACCACTTGACCGTGCCTCTACGTGCCCCGAGTGATTGATAGATTAATTGTCGTTGATAATTCCACGCTGCACTTTCCACGAGGTTTCGTTGGTACAAAGAAGCAGAGAACAGACCGTCGAACCACGAAATGAACGCCAATTTAAACTGGCTCGTAGTTTTCAACTGAAATCTTGATTCTGTTTTTGGAACATCTTTTGGAAAATCATAACGATATCCGAGAGGAAAAAAAACTATCGAGCATTTCATGGCGATGTCTTCCGTTTCTTTCTAATCCCAGAAATTAATTCGTGATCGATGTAGGGTCATGACAGAGTGCGTAGAAGTGGAAATCTTGCTAATTCGTAACATTATCACCCCAATAGAGCCGAACAGCCCTCAATAGTGAATACAACTCCATAGAACAACCCCCTGGTCTTCGACTACTACCACCAACCAAAGAGATTCATCCACTTTAGCTCGCATATATGTGTGTGTCGTCTTTTATACCAGTTCTTAGCCATAGCCTTTTCGATGTAACTTCGACAAATGTCTTGAACAGTTCACAATTTCTGTTGAGTCCTATGAAAATTTGTAGTTCTATCTGTATACATTGTAACATTTCTTACGTTGTGTTATAAATTTAACATCAATAGAATTATGTATGTGAAATGTCTTTTCAGAGTAAACGTGTGTTTAACTTTTCGAAATAAGAAAATCCTAATGTTTTTGTCTTCGATATATTTTTTTCTTTCTTTCGTTTCGTTTCAACGAAACTCATTCTATCGAAAGGAAGTGGATAAACACACAAGTTAGTGAGTTAGATCGAATCTAGTGTAGGCCACTTGCACGCCTTTCGCATGGGGGTGGCCGACACAATCCAACCACTGAATGTGGCTTCCGCCAAAACCACTTACGCTTTGTGGCGAGAGACTCTTAACAATGCGATACAGGATACAAATACAATAAGACGCAGTTACATCACTTAGGAACAATGCCGCCCCACGCGACCCACTCTTGCAACCTCCTACCCGCGTTTTCTCTGCCTTCTCGGCTAGATACCACCCCCGCGGGTGATTTATGCGCTAAATGGAGAAAAACATTTCTCCCTTTTCAACGTCGACACCGGGCCACGAGAGAAAGATCTTTGCAAGTTTCTTATGTGCGGAAGCGTCGAGTCGGGGGTAGAAGCCAGACGGAAATCAAGCCGGAAAATGTCAAGGCATAAGGTCTACGAGGTGAATTATCGGAATTAAAGACACTTAGGTTCTCCCGATAGAACTAGTCCGTTGAAACACGACAACGTTTTCGCACTTTTCTTTTTTCCTTTTTCACGTGAACGTACTTGTCAATCTTCATTTGGCAATATCTATTCGAATTACAAAAAAGAAAAAAAAAGAAAAAAAATTGACACACGCTTAAAAAGCTTCTCAGATATTCTTGAACATCAATAATCGTAGCTTTCAACTCGGATGGAGGGAGAGCGAGGGAGAGAAGCTTGAGCATCTCGATCCGTCAAAAGAGCAGAGACAGAGAAGCACTTCACGGTAGATTTTTCGCACGGAGTGACAGTAACACTGGCACATGTCAAGTTCTCTCAGGATCGGTGAACCCCCGAGTTTCTCACCCGGCCGCGGAAGCTGGAGAAGTTAAGAGGGAATAAGGGGGATGACTATTAGCCACAGCACTTGACTCGACCCCCGTTAATGCCTCTTAATAGCTCACCGTGGGCCACACACCCCATAGAATCGCGTACGCTGGCCCTGCCCCCCAATGGAAGCTCGATTAATAAGGGCGCGCTGCACGCGGACAGTGATTAACATTCGAGTTACAGCGCACGTGGCCTCATTTACACGTGGGCGGGAACCGCGTATGCACTTCTTAAAGCTGCTAGCGACAGCACTCGAGATTCAATTCGCACCGTTTGTCAAACATTTATTACAGCTTACATTCTGCTGGCCGATTAGTTACGATCAAACGTGTAACCGGACCTCGATGTGTTTCAGCATACACCTCGTGGATACGTTTCTACTCTAGCTACCCGCGCGACATGCGGGAGATTTTCAATCGGAGAACCGTCCATTTGGGCCACTACGCGAAGAGCTTCGCGCTGAGGGAAACTCCGCAGCGGATCGGCTCAATCGGAAAGAAACTCCACGAGAAGGACAACTCGAAGCAACGGCATAACAACCGGCTCACGAATGAAAAGTAAGTATTCAATTTTATTTCGCGATTTTTTCCCCTATTGTTACGTGATCGAGCGTATTCTTGCTTTGATCGCAAAGAGAAACAGACCGTTGGTCGGCGCACGGTTGAGGTAGACAATCACGGAGGAGACGAACGAGAGCCCGCAGTATTAATGACGGATTCATGCGTGGCTTAGCGTGTTAACTGCGGTGCACCCTGATCTCTCCCTCTCTTTCCCTCTCGCGGCGAGCATAACTAACAAACGCAACCACGTGTGTTAACAGATAGTGCACGCAAACGTAGCGTGAGGACAGCTCGTGGTTCCTAGAGAGGTTAGATACGTCAAAACTGTCGCTTTGTGTCATTCGTCATGTACGACGAACGGGCGGACATGGTGTACGGTGGCTGGCAACCATAAGCCATACGGCTCTCGTCGTGCTCATCCTCGTTGTTCACCATCTCCCTCGGTTCCCCTTCGTTTCTCTCTGTCTGACGTCGCTCGGCTCTCGTTCTCTCTAAACGCGTCTCCGTCTATCTCTGCCCGGTATGCATTTCACATGGCATTCGGCTGGCTTCTGCCCTTCTCCAGGCTTCTCCCATTCTCTCTCTGACTCTCGATTCACTGTCTCTTACTCTATCTCTCCATTGTTCATAATTATACAATACGGCTATTAAACAGACTGATGCGACCGCTACTTCCGGCCCTGGCTGCGCCATTTACGGAAACCACGGGACGAGCACGAGCCTCCCTTTGCTTTCTGCTTCTCTTGTTCCTCCCCTCCCCCTCCTCACTCTCTCTTGCTCCCTATCTCTCTCTTTATGAAGAACTTTCTCACCCGCAACGTCACTCTGATTTTCTGTCCATTGCACGCTATCTTTTTGTGTCTATCTGTTTGTGTTACCTCTGTCGGTCCTCTCGTCTCGTCGAGATCTCTATTTTTTTTTTTTTTTTTCGGCGCTAGCAGCATTTGGTTGACTGTATAACGCGTGCTTGGAGTAGCTTTTGTTGGAGTAGCCGGTCTTTGTTTCATTTCAGGCTACGTGGTATTTTCCTTAAAAGTTTCTTTTACTTTCCCTTACTTATTTGGCTGTTTTATCTCGCAGTCTTAATTAAGGAATTCACGTAGCGTCGAGTTATTACTCATGCGCTCCAGAAGGTTTTGTCTATCAAGACGCACGTCGATATTTCGTTGGTGACACGCACCACGCTGCGCCGCTTTCTTTGGAGCAGGCATTAAGCACTAACTTGTTTAATGTGATTTGAATGGGCGTGCTTTCGATGCACACAACGGGTAACCGGCGGGTGCCCTCCACCCGTAGAGAGAGAACAAGTTCGTTTTAATGGGTGAAAGGCGGGCACCGAGCTGACGGTCCAATGGATCGAGAGACCTATGGTGTACGCCTCTGTGGGTGCGATTACGCCTGCTTCTGTGTGCGTTTTTATACGTACATATATATTTTCCGGCTCGTGAACGGGTGTATGTGTCACCATGTGTGCCCGCGAACGCGTCTAAATAGTGACGTATAAAGCTCGAGTATTGCAAGCTTCAACTTTAAGACTTGGCTCTCGAAATCTTAATAGTTAATTCCGTGAAAAATATATCATCTTATCATCGATACGTGAGTCTGTGATATTGTTTATAATCATCGTACAGTTGTCGAGAGCTCGAGTCTCCGAATTCGAAGGGAGAACTTTGAGAACGCGTTGACGTTCACCGATTGTCTCAACGCTTTTAGAGAAGTCGACCGAATGGAACGGATCCGTTGTTTTTGGCAAAAGTTTTGCAGATTTTTGCGAGTCGAAATCGCCGCGTCGGATGCTTCTGTACGAAAGAATAGTTCTGTTTTTCTTTCCGACTTCGATCGTTCTTTCGGCCGTGCGGCGTTAGCCGCCGCCGAAGATTAGGCGAATAAAACGGATCGACCGAGAAAAACAGTAGTGACGAACGTGAAATTCGGCACGGCAGTTGGCCGAAATTCTCTGGCACGCCATCGGACCGTAGGGGAGGGTGTATTGCCGGTGTTTTAATGCGAGTCCGCTTTTTTGTCGATTTTCGATTACCTCGCTCTGTCCTCGCCACATGTCGTTTACGTCGAATTACCGAAAATTGCGGGTTAGCCCTAATGCGACGATTAAGGAGCGTTTCTGCGTTTTCAGGCCCGACGGGGAGCCGGTGAAGAAGCAGAAGCGTCAAGGTGACGAACCGAAGATGGGGTTGCTGAAGAGAGTCAGAATGCTTAACACCTCCGAGTACGACAGCGGCCTCGAGCCCGCGAGGAAGCCAAAGAAGTTCTGAGCCTTGCATTATCGCCTCAACTACTAGAAAACAAAATGCGATTTCGTTACCGTGATTCCCACCTCTCGTGTAAATAGCTCTCTCCCTTCTTAAGCGTACGGTTAACCAGGAAATCAGGTTACTCGCATTTTGACGAGATTTTATTCAAACTGTTTACTTACTCCATTATACCACGCAATGTACATATATGTGTATTATGTATCTATATCGTTTCGTAGATCGATTTTATTCTTTTTTTTTTTTTTTAAATAACGTATAGTCTTAAATAACGTACGCTACAAAAATACGAAATGTTGACGAAATAAACTCAGCCTGTTCGTAAAACTCGCGCATTACGTTCCTCAGCTACAACCCAAATGAAGTAATTAAATAATTTCAGCGAAATTCCTCGCTCCTTGCACAGTTCGTATCGTGCTCTCGCTGAGCATACTAAACAGTGCACTAAATTGCGCTACGCGCGGATGTGTGGAGTTTTTTTTGGTCGTAAATATGGGAGGACGAGACGTAAGTATGTCGGTACGCAGAGACGAGCGCAGAATAAAAGGGGGAGACAGAAGCAGAAGAGGAAAGGGAAGGAATAAGGGCGGAGGGATATGATTAATACGGCAGCATTATTTTCAGATTTTTTGCAGCACGATCCGCGAGCGCAAATTGCTTGCAAATAAAGGCGGCGTCGACTATCGCCGCTGGTAGGACAGCGAGGAAGCGGAGGGGAACAACGTTGAAGGAGAGGAGAGAGGTGGAGGCCGAGAGAGCTCAGCCGGACTTAATTTAATTTAATTATGCCTTCTTTCTTCGCTACCAACGCGCCGGAAGATAGATGGCAAGCTCGGAATCGCCTGAATTGCCTCTCCTGCCGACATCGTTCGGAATTACGATTTTCCCTGATAGATTTCGACTTTCCATTAATCGGCCAACCTGCCCGATTAATCGTCGCGACGGCGACATTCGCGAATTTTTCACTCCAACGTCCGACTCCGGCGTTCGCGGCTTCACGATCGCCGATTTCCAGCCGGCGTCGTGAAATAGAAATTGTACTCGGTCCTCGCGTACAAAGTTCGTTTATCGATTTGCCCCGTGACGAGAAATAATCGCCGAACGCGTGCACGATTCTGTCTGATATGCGACGTGGCCGCATATTTTCGAAAAAAATCAGCCAGATGGTACCGTGAGCCGATACATCGAACGTCCTCGAACCCCGGAGCTGGATTCATTTGCTTTAACGATTGCCCGCGCGCCGAACAACGTGCGTTTTTCATCGTCGGAAGAACAGTAAGCGTCACATGACACGGTGAAATTTAATTAAACGTAATGTCCTCTCTCGGCCTCGTCCCGATGCATTTTCGAAACCCACCCAAGTAGCAATCTGCGAGGGGGCACATTAGACGAGACGGGGCAAAGAGTGCGATATTTATTCGTAATGTGCATCGCAATTCGTCGTGGCTTAGCATCAGTCATAGTCATCGCGAGCGTGCACACGCTCATAATGAACCGTACGATTAGGATATCCCCGTTCGTTCATTCGTCGAATGGGTTTCGTGGACGAAGAAGTAATCGTAGATTGCTTCGAACGAATAAAAAGGAAAGCCCGAAGAAAGGGTGTAATTCTCATTACCGGAGGATATGCGCAGCTTGAGTCCGATTAATATGACAGCAAAGAGAGGCGGGGACGAGACGGGGGGGAGAAAGAAAACCATAAGAAAAAAAGAAACTGGGGAAAAAACGACGAAGAAAAGAGCCGGCTGCACGGGGACCAACTGCGTATCCACCCTCGTGTTTCGTTTTTACGTAGAAAAATGTGTCCGCGACTAATGCGCCACTGAAAAAAACGTAAGTAGATATAAAAGGAACCGATTATTCCGGGCGATTACCGATTTCCGGCCAGTTAACGATTTTTTTTCGAATCGTTTACACCGTAGCCAGCGCCCCGGTTCATTATCACCAGTCATTACGCTCGGTATTTCATTGGTCGCTTTTGAATTACTTTCGAAACATACGCGCCCAATCGCCACTGATTCATCGTCCGCGCGAACGATCGAAATCGACGCGCTCTATTGTGCAACAGAATTGCAAAACACCGTTCACAAAAGAGTCGGCATGAAAAGGCAACGAAGTTTGACTTTTAATTGAAAAGTATCAATCGTTCCGCGTTGCGGATCTACTTTCAAATTATCGTAGCTGTTTCACGGGAAATATCGTACGTACATGTGTATCTCACGCGAGCGCATCATCCACGTGACAAAACCATGTATTTGACGGTGAAAAGTGTTTTGCGATTTCACGCTTTGAAGTAAAGATGATATGTCGTGTGTTGGGACGTGGATTCGACGATTTATCGCAATTCTTCGTTAATAGATAGGTACGTTGTACCGCGAACGATAAAACATATCGAGGCTTTCCATCGACACGACGGTCCGAAGGGAAAAAAAAAGAAAGAAGAGCTGGCACAATAGTGCATCGAGCGAACGATGTTAATAATTCAACCGGTACCGAGATATGTAATTGTCGCTCTAATTATCCCGATAACGGTGCAATTAAGTTTCACGTGTGACGCGATTTATGTCAGCGACGCGGCGCATTCTCTCGCCTCGGCACAATGAAGAGAGAATTCTTTGGTGGCGGGGCAGGAAGACGAGAGAATTATTTCCTCAAGACCGGCAAGTGAAATCCGTTCGAAAATGCGTCAGAATCAAGGCGATTAGCATTTTACAGGCTGCTCATATCCCATAGAAACGTTTTATTGGCCTGTCGTGTGAAGGAGCCATTGCCTCGGCCAATAGTTGCACGTTACCTGCAATAGCTACTCTTCCCTCGTTATTTTCTCGTCTGTACGATATGGATATATCGCGCCGTGTATAACTCGAATCCCCGGGTTAAACTGAGCCGCGATTCGGTTACTCAACGCGTTCTCTATGTGCACACTCTACGTCTCTATTCGGCAGTTTTAGTACGTACACAACTTCGTCGATGCGTTGCGGAAATTCTACACGCTACGTCATTAAACGAGCCATAAGATAATACTAGATGTAGGATAGGAAAGACGATTATATTTTATAGTACATTGTGCTATCTCGATGTGTAAAGCGTAGAAGCAAAATATTTTCTTCGCCTTCGACCGATCGATATTGCAACGAGAATGTGAGAGCCGCGTGACCGAGAAAAGTCGTGTAGGCGAAAAATTGCGAAAAATGTATTACGACGTTGCATTGTACCGTTTCGAACATCGTTATGTTCAATCCGTGGTAGATTTGCCGGTCGATAGGATTTCTCGTGCATTACCGCATTAGTGCACTCCATCGCGATAAGTAACAAGCTGTAAACTGCTTTCCCCGATGTGATGCAGGACTGCGCGATTTTGTTGCCTCGGTACAAACGATAATAGCGCCCGTATACACCGGTTACTTAACGTTCATTATAATTAACACGCTCGATGCCTTAACTTTCCCAGGAGGAAAGCGAGAATAATGTGCGTTTGTAATCGCCGACGCGTACGCATTTAATTTTATCATTTCCTCGAGTCACTAATGACCGAGGAATTTACAAAATTTAACGTACCTTGTAAGCAATTTTAATAGATCCCGACTCCTTTAACCCTTGACAAGTACCGTGGATTCCGTTAGCTTTTTAATTAATACAATTATACCATCGAGCGACGCGACATATTCATACAGACAGAATGATGGAAAAAATAAAAAAAAAAAAAACCACTTGATTCTTCAAGAGGTATTTCGTAAGCGTTAAAATACAAATCGAGAAGAGGCAAAGATTGGGAAGAGAAAGAGCGGTTGGTTACCAATTGTGGAAATATTTGGACGAAAAGTGAGTCATGCAGACGGAGTTTAATGAACGATCGCGACGAGCGGAAGCGCGTAGAACTCGGTGAAAGCAACGCAATCCTATTTCGCGAATTCCGGGTGTCTTTGAAGCGACGATCCGCCGCGATATTCGCGCTCCGTGTTCCACAACAATTAACCGATGGCAATTAAGACATCTAAATTAATTCGTTATAAACAAGCCAGATATTCCGTAGCGAGCGAAGCCACGTAATTGCCCGGATTCTCACAAGCCGCGCAGAAGAGAGAGAATCCTCGGTGCACACCTACACCTACATCGACGCGCAGCGTTATACATAATGTATATGCATGTACACCTGTAATTTACCAACACGAGCATCGTCGCCCGGTAATAGCAACAATTACTTTATTTTACCATCTTCCCGGTTCTCAAACGAGCGCGCGAGCTCGCCTAGGCAATTTCATTTCCTCGCATTTCAAATATCCGCCTATATAGAAGAAACCCAGTCGTGAAGAGGCGACTTTCTTTTCTCGCCGCGGAACCGACCAACTATTTAGGCGCGAATTAAAAAGGCTCGCCTACTGTACTCTGACAGTGCCTCTACTGACTGAAACGAAACTCGAATGTTCACGAAACAATGCGCTGATTAGACGTGATCTTCGGTATTTATGTCTGTTGTTATTGCCTCCGCAACGTAACGATGGCCTTAATTTGATGATCAAGATCTGAGAAAATTATAAGTTACCGTTTCCTGGAGCAGCTTCTCGTTGCCATGTTATACGCCAAATTGCAATTGTAATTCAGTCGTACGGACGACTTTGTTCGTGCTTTGAGTAGGTACACCGATGCTTATTCTTTTCGCCTGACTTGTGACGACTCCCTTTTGCCGGGCGATAAGGATCTGTAATTAAGAAAAGAAAATGAGACCATCTTGAAAAAGAATTCAAGTGTAGGAAAGCGATACTACCGCAGGTTGTGCACGAATGTACGAACAGAAATCCCTATTGGCGTTTCATCGTCGCGAATAGCACAATTCGAGTGATTTTATATAATAATTTCATTATTGCATGAATCTTGCTAGCTTCCTGACGCCACGATAGTTTTCCACGTCCGTTTCCTCACTTTATTATAGTTATGATCCGAATATAATAATAATGATATACAGAGATGCATGTACGCTTTGAAAACTAGGCATTCGACGGACACTACAATAGAACATTACGATGTTCGCGCTTTTATTTTGTTCTTTGTCGTTTACGTTGGTATTTCTCTTTTTTTTCTTTTCAACGTTTCACACGGCTCGAGTGCCAACGAAATGGTTAGAAACTCACTGTCGCAAACATACGTTTTGCGAAATTTTATGTAACAGTTTCGTCGTCTCGCGGCTCCCGCCAGTTTCCTGACGGGATAACGTTGCAATGCACGGTAATTGTCATTTTTCACGTCCGTTTCCTCGTTTCAAACCATCCTGCTTATTCGCTGAGCGACATTTTAGCGTTAACGAGTAGTAGTTTAACGACACTCCTGGA